CAGGTTTAAATTAAAAATTAATGATGAACAAAAGTATGGATCCCAGTAAGCACTTACTATTAATACCACATTCAATGAAATAAACCTATAAATTAACTTTTATCTATAATAAAGCAACTTTCTTAGTGTTGTCAATTTAATTTTAAGAGTTTTCTTTTTTTTTGTTTGAATATTTAGGTTTTCCATAATTGTTTGAGCATGTCTGTTACAAAAGTTAGAAACAATTGGTGTTAAAATTATGGTACATAGAATTTTAGAATGGGATTCGCAACAAAAAATTGGATTGCCGTAGAGATAGGATAATAAAATATTCCTTAAATTAAACGACACATCTTCAGTTGGCAGACTTGGTAATAGTTCAATAATAATTTCTACAACAAACACTATTAAACTCACAAATTTTTTGTTTGGGTAGATTAATCTTCCACGATCTTGGTGGTATATTAATTCCAATAACGGACAGTTTACTTGGGGATGAAGATCTTGCAATATTGAAAAAGATAAATTGCAGCTCACAAATTGATTTGCTTTCTTTATAAGATAGCCACATAAAAATGCTATAGCAGCCGATTCCACATTAACCAATTGGATGTATTCAGTGCTATTAAATTGTTTTAATTTTTCCAATTTATTTAAGGTGGAAACTTTTAGAGTAACAGCCACTGTAGTTTCTATTGAATTTTGCTTCACGGTCGGCGTAGTTGCCGAACTTTTATAGTTGTATTCGGAAGCAATGTTACAAGAATTAACAGTTTTAATTATGCCGGTTTTCAAAATTTGACGAAGTGCATGTTCGGCAGCTCTACAATCAGTGAGATCATTAGACCCACTTCTTAGTCTAACATTATAGAAAATAAGGACTCTATGGCATCAGAACTCAATCTTCTCGTTAAGACATAGAAGAAATTCAATTCATTTATCAAATATTTTACGCAAAGACCGGTACTTTTGGCAGTAAACAGAAATGCTTCTGCAGTTTCTTTTGTCAGCCCTCGCATTCCCATTGCTTCTGATCTAGTTTGAATATCCCTAATGTACGACGGAAATTCTTGGTCAAGCCACAAAAGTCGTTCATCCGAAGTATCCGTAAATGGTGCAACATCACAGTCATGTTGGCGAACGTGTTGAGTTCTATTACTCACATCGTGAATTTTAAAAAAATTATACATTGTTTCCAAATATTTTACTGTAGCTCTAGACTATTTGAAGTTCAATAATTCAGCTTGATCCTGATTTGCAAGATACCGCAAGGATGCAGTAACTGGTGTTGAAAATATTTGCACGGCTAGACGTACCTTCATCTTCTCTAAATAACTTGGAAACAAGTGTTTTTTGGTTAAGTATCGAACAGGCCTTACAATTAAATTTTCTTGATTTTCAGCCAACTCCTTTAAGTAATCAGCTGAAATAATACCTTCTTTGGATGCCATGTTTTGGTCTAAAAATAAGTTTCGAGCATTTTTTATTAAATGACAATAATCAAAACTGAAGAAGAGTTTTAGACCAGGACTAAAAGGATGCGGGATATAATTCTGGAGATAGCCATTTCCAAAATGTTTGAAAAGAGCAACATTATTTTTGTGGTTGTCTCCCACAATTCGTACGACCTTAAATTCACATTTTGCAAGAAGCTGCAATACTTCTGTTGCCAGTTTGTACAAATCCTTGCTACCCAGTTTTCTATGAAAGTAGTAGCTTGCTGGTATCACATATTTTGTTGACAAGCCATGTATTATAAAACAGAGCAACTGGTTTGCAATAACGGGTTTAGATGTGATAGTGTTGGTGACTTTGGGAAGAGTTTCCAGTCCAAAAATRCGWTCTTCTGTTTTTGAATACCGAAKGTTTTCCTTAACAGCCATATCATCTACAACTAAGGAACAYACACGTTCMGAAATGTTWAAAATTTGCATTTCACTAATTAGACGATCTTCTATCAAWTTTTTATTTTMTGAACCAAAATATTTTCTCAACGTTGTACTGCATGGCAATTTTAGTAGATGTTGCTTTGTTTTATTTGAGTTTATTATAATACAGCTGAAGTCCTCTCAATTTCTGTTTTAGACACCGGTTTGTATATTCAAAGTCTTTTAATTGAGCCGATGTACATGAAGTTTGAGTCCCAAAGTCAAAAACGTTGTTAGAGCTAGTACTCAATGTTGGCTGTGGTAATTCACCAATTTCCGTCGTGGTTTGAAACTAGAAGTGTTATACAAATATACAAATTGAAACTATAACACAACACTATTTACAAATCTAGAAGGAACAGCTCCTGGTAAAAGCATGCGTTTCTTTGCATTGGTCATAAAATCTTCCGGTTTAAAATGTGCACTGCAAACAGTTGAATATTCGGATAGATTTTTATGGTCTAAAAACATTTATTGTGATTTGGCATAATTAAATTCGTATTTATACCAATATAAGGTGCAATTGCTACTTTCCACTCAGAGGCCAAATTTATATTAGCAGGAAAATAATGAAACGATTTTCCTTTTAAATCTTGGGATTTGCAAATACAGCATTTTCGTCTTGAAGGCATTGTTCTCTCAAGTCAACGCTTAATTCGTTAATGACACTAAAGACAACAATAAGGAATATTGTCGATAAATGATTTTTGAATGTCAAAATTAAAGCACTCTAAAAATTTTAAATATTTGATTTTTTTTATGAAGATATGCAACCAACATTACAGATCTAAATATTTTAATTAAGACCAGAAGATGACTCTGCCATACTCCCGCTTTATGTCATATGTCAAACACAAATGTTTCTCCCACGCGCGAGGCCGGATAGACGAAAGTCTATCTTTTTATCAAGGAAGCCGTGATTCAAACTCAGCATAGGAAGCCATTTCTATCAATACGAGTTCAGTGAATTAATTATAAATTAATTAGGTTCAATATTTATTAAAGCGGCATTTTTATTTTGCATGGAAATTCCATAGGCGACTAATGAAAATCATTTTAAAACACGCTCTAGACAAGGTGATTCTTTTAGAGCCTACATTAGAAACTTTTTAACTTCTAATGCAGATAATAATTTGAAACTTTGTACACAACCCAAGTCGACTAGTCTAAGTTCAATTAAATTATTTTCAAAATGGCTGAACTTCCGGAACTACGAGAAATTGGCGCCAGCTTTGAAATTTTAAATGGTACCCACTTAATTTTATTGCATTGTTGAATTCTCCTCTTTAAACTAAGTAAAATGTACCTAGTTGTTAGTACCTATCTGTCATAGTTTTTGACATATGTCAATTTTTTGGTCAAAATTTTCACTTGGTTCATTCAAAACATCACAGCTCTTGAACCCTTTGCGATAAGTGAATATTTTTTTTTGCATTCGAAAACCAAAGGTTCGAAAAGTTTTCTAGAATTTTCAAAATTGTCAACTGTCAAATTGCAAGGCTAGTATGATTTTTTGAAAAATGATCATTACCAAACAGCTATAACTCAGTTTTTTCAAATGAAATGACTCTATTTTCTCAACGGCAATCAAACGTACATTAATTTGTAGAGGGACTTTTATCAACATGTCCTATACCTATCTCTTACAGTTTTTGAAATAATCACGAAAAACATGTTATAATTTTTATTTTTATAGTTAATCACATTGGCTTTGAAAAAATACAATAAAGATATACCATAATTAATACAGATGTTCGATATGTTTACCATTTTCAAACAGTTCAAAATTCGATGGTGAACTGATTTGAGTGGCTTCCATTATTTCATTTGGTTGAAGATTATTAAATGCCGTCTCAATCCTTGCCTCAATTCTTCGTAATTCCGAATGGGTGTTGTGTAGACTAAATCTTTAATACGTATTGATCATTTTCCAAAGCTTACGTGATTGACTATAAAAATAAAAAACAAAAACATGTTTTTCGTGATTATTTTAGAAACTGTAAGAGATGGGTATAGGACATGTTGATAAAAGTCCTTCTAGAAATCGAGGTACTTTCGCTTGCCATTGAGAAAATGGGGTCATTTTATTTGAAAAAACTGAGTTATAGCTGTTTGTTAAATATCATTTTCAAAAAATCATATAAGCTTTGCAATTTGACAGTTGACAATTTTGAAAATTTTAGGAAAGTCTTCAGACGTTTGGTTATCGAATGCAAAAAAAATTATTGACTTATTGCAAACGGTTCAAGAGCTGTGAAGTTTTTAATAAACCTCTGCAAATGAGAATTTTGAGTAAAAACTTGACATATGTCAAAAACTATGACAGATAAATTCTAATAACTAGATACATTTTACTCAGTTTGGAGAGGAGAATTCAAAAATGCAATCAAAATAGGTGGTTACCATTTAAAATTTCAAAGTTGGCGCCAATTTTTTTAAAATAATTTAATTGAACTTAGACTGGTCGATTTGAGATGTGTACCAAATTTTAAATTTCTATCTGCATTAGAAGTTAAAAAGTTTCTAATATAAGCCCTAAAAGAATCACCTTGTATAACTTATTGTAAAACGTTTAACAATGACTCAATGAGTATGGTTACAAACTGATGATTGTTTACCCTTTACAATAAACTTTAGTTTAAATTTCTACAATGAATAAGGAGCGGTTTGAAAGTTGTGCTGTTAAAACCTTTGATGGACTTACCAGACTAAATAGCAAAGTTTAAACGAATTCTATTATGTGGATAGTAGTTTAATAAAAATAAAAAAATTGTAATCATACAGTACAATGTATTTATTTAAAACCATAATTAGGCCTGGAACCCAATTACATTTTAAGGAATGTTATTTTCAGATCTTTCAAAAGAATTTGCTGTTCACTTAAAGTTCGCTTCTTGATTCAAAACAAGCCGACGTGGTTTAGCAACCAAAGGATTTAACCATGTTTTGGACCCTCTTTGAAATGCACCCACCTTAACCCACGTTTCGTAATCCTTAAATCATTGCAAAGCAGTGGTTTGGACGACTTTGCAGTTTTTTTATTCGAAATCTCATTATGCAATAAGGGTAAACACGCAATAAAAACAAGGCTTAAAAGTGTTTATAACTTTATTTTATACATTTTAATTTCAGACTAATTTTTGCCGAACAGCGAGCTGTACAACTCATTTTTCGCTTCATCTGTCCATACATTCTCATCAATCGGCGCCATAAAATTAACCAGTTTACTGTGTACAGCGTATCGGATTTTGCGCCCCTTTGTTGCTCTCGTGTCAATTTTTCGCTTCATTTTGCTTCTTAGATTCTGTAACTGTATCCATTGGCGACTTAACTGAACTGGATCGCTGACGTCGGCCGACTTAACTTCAATTAGTTCGCGCAAGAGTTGGTGGTAGAAATCGTCATCATCAAATATCTCGCTGTTTTCTTCATTGGTTGTGTCATCAGTTTCTTCTTCACCTAGGACAGAATACAAAGAACGTTTAAGTTGTGTTTTCTTGATTAGTTTATCTTTGTTGCTCAAATTGTATTCAATTTGATCTAGAACTGAATGTGGAGTAGTGCCCCCTTTGATGACGACTCGAGTTTTATCGTTCCATTTTTGGATGACATTGTTTCTGTAATCTTTGTATTTTTTGTGTTTTTCGGCAATTTCGCTTTCATACAATTCTAATTTTCGTTTCTTTTTAGGAGTGTGACTTTCAGACTTTTCGTCACTTTCTGATTCCTCAACATCTGTGTCACTTGGAATTTCTTCATCATTAGGATCTTCAACTTTTTCCCGCTGGTTGCTTTTCTTGACTAACTCCTTTGTTTCAGGATACTGTTTATAAAGTAATTTTTGTAACAATAATAACTTATCTAAGACACCACATATTTTACTTTTTGTGTCATTAACTTTATTTGAAAAATCGGGATCTGCTGATTGTTTGATTTCTCTAAATTTAGCGTGTTGTGGCATTTTGTTGGCCGTTAAAAGACATTTTTGGAGTTGAATTCGTACTTCTAGAAGGTTTTCCCACATCGCCATTTGATTTCTCACACAAAGCCCTTTTTTGATTTGATTTGAAACATTCGTATCTGAAATGTGTTTAAAATTTCCTTCCGTATTATCATTTTCTGATAATACTTCACCATCTTCAGAAAATCCCTCTGCAACAATAAATTAGAAATAATGACACAAAACAAATCAAACATACCATTTGATTCTGAATCCTCAGAATTTTCATGAGCAGATTCTTCTTCCTCGTTCTCACTATTTGTTCTTCCACTTTCTCGGTCTTCATTGTCGAAACTTCCTGAAGATGCATCTGTAAAATAATGTCTGACCCTTAGAATTTTAACAAAACAGCTTAAACAAACCTTCTAAATCGGAATCTCTCAAATGTTTCCGACTTGTTTTCTTGCCGGCATATTTCTCATCTAAATCTGCCAATAAATCAATGTTTTTTCGACGAAATTTGCTCAAGATTTCCTCTTCTTCTTCATTTTCTTCAACATCTTCCACAACTTTTGCAATCGTGCCATCACCAACTTCGTCTTCAGGATCAATACTCGAAGGGGCGGTATTTAAAATACCTGCTATTTTATCGGCTAAAGTTCCAGTTGATCTGTTTTTCATTTTGCTCGAATTAGAAATCAACACACGTGTTTCTGTTTTTATGGTTATGTTCGTCTGTCCTGTCACTTCTGTCAGATGTCAGTCATCATTTCGAAAGCGTATGAAAGCTATTCAATTCGAAACACTAAAATAATAGTAATTGCATCCACACCAATTGTACTTACCGTGTTTGCACGTTTTATAATAACTTTACAAAAAGAAAAAAAATAATATTTTATTTAAAAAGTAATATAAAAATATTTCAAGTAGAAGCACGTGAACGCTATAGTAGAAAATAGAATCACAGATTAACCTACTAAACCTGAATCTGTGGTAGAACCATCCTCTCTGTTTTGTGGAACAAACCGAACAACAAACCAAAACCACAGCTATCACAAAAGCATTCTGAAAGAAAAAGTTTGAGAGGTGATAATTTTCTGTTTTTTTTTTTGATAACCTAAGTTAAATATTTTGAATCAATAATGAGTGTAAGTAATGAACAATTTTATTGTAGTTTTTCACATTTTAAACAATTTAGGACTCTTCGGACACTTCATGGTCTCGTTTCGCCAAATACTACGACCCCATAAAAATTGGCTCTATCGACGGCACTGACACTGAGCCCCACGACAAAGGCATCGTCCGAGCTCTAAATTCCGAATATCACCCTAACCGCCACGTTAAAGGCCGGCCTGAGTGCACAATTTTTGTTAGTCGTTTAAGTCTCAAGACTACGAAAGATACAATTAAGGACATTTTTTCAAAATTTGGCCCTTTGCGTAGATTTCGTTTGGTTAAAGATATAGTCACGGGAATGCCCAAAGGCTACGCTTTCATAGAGTACGAAAATGAACTCGATGCCGAGGAAGCGTATTGCAAAGCAAATAAAATGAATATTGATGGAAATATAATTTTTGTGGACTTTGAATGCGAGCGATTATTAAAAGGCTGGCGACCTAGACGGCTTGGGGGCGGTTTTGGTGGGAAAAAGGAGTCTGGACAGCTGCGGTTTGGTGGACGTGATCGACCTTTTAAAAAACCTATCAGTTTGGAAATAAAAGAGAGGCGGGAAAGGAGTGGAAAAGACAGGCATGAAAGTAGACGTGATCGTAAATAGTGTCCTTTATATGAAAAAAAATGTTTACTTATTTAACAAAAGCAGTAATAAAGTAAATTCTCGTCTTTATGTACTTGCAACATCACTGTGATTGTTCTGAAAGTAGAAGAATTATTTCAATGGAAGATTTTTTTTATTTTAAGCATTACCCACTTTATCAGTTTCATTTTCAACTGGACGGTGAATATCAGCTTCTTGTAACTCTTCTTCTTGTTCAAGTCGATCAATAATAGCTTGACGCGAATCTGTAATTTTTTATTAAAACTAACGGAATTCCACAATGAAACATACTTACATGGCTCTGCACACAAAACAAAAACTTCCCTATTATTTAAATGGATACAATCCTCCCTAAATTTCCGAACGATGTCATTAAAACCGTCCCAAAAGTTAACAGACCCCGCCGGTAATTTACAAACAGATTTGAATTTCTTATAAATTTCATCCGCTTTAGTTCGCACTTTCTGTGCGTCGTTCTTGAAAATTTCAAACTCCTCAGGCGTTAAATTCCACTCTTCTACGTTCCCCACGTATTTTCTCAACCTTCTGATCATTTCAACAACATGAGAATGTTTCTTTAGCATAATTTCATCCATATTTATCTCCAGTAAACTATCCAAGAATTCCAACGCTTTCTTTGGGTCAGCTTTATTTAAACCTAAACAATTTTTAATTTTTGCGTCAAGTTCAACCAAGCTAGATTCTGATCTTAATCTCTCTACTCTTTTATATTTGCTGTTTATGAGTTTCATTTCAGCATCTCGTTTTATTTCAGTTTCAGTCAAATCAAAATCATCAAGGAATGACTCAGGGTTGCTGGAGGGGGTTATTTCGCCACTAGTAACTGCATCCTTAAGGAGAAGCACTCTGGAGGCTGTATCACTGTCATAAAGAGCACATTCATATTCATTAGCAAAGTGTAATGGCCATTTTTTGTGGAGTTTTAGTCCCGCATATTTGCCGGAAGGAAGCAAAACCGGAAATACTTGGTTTTCAAAGTAACAGCGTTGGTCCACAGGTCGGGCTGTGGACAGATAAAATAACAAATCAATTGAAATCTGTAAAAAACTTACATTTGTATAACTCAGGTTTTTCTTTAACTGCATCTGCCTACAATTAGAAAATACAACAAAAATATTTTTGTATTTACATACATAGTCTTACATAAATAATCCAATTTTTTAAATTGAGCTCTGACACTATTTTAACGTTTGGCAAAAATGGTAAATCTTCATCAACTTGTGCACTGTTATTTTCATCAGCTGTCCCAAAATTGATACTCTCGTTCACATTTTTAGGACATTCACTTGGACCATCTGTAGTATTTTCACTCATGTTTGATTCTGAAAATATATTTTCATATTTTTTTCTAAACACAACTCTACAAAATACCTCCTTCACTTTCAGAATTTCTAGCATTACTGCTAACTTTTGATGGAACAGAGTCTGAAGATTTTTCCGAATTACTTCTCTTTCTTTTAGGAGCTGGGGCATTCCCCTGTTATCAATAAATTATCAAAAAAGAATTACCCCCCAAAGTGACTTACATCAAGAGTGGAATCATCACCATCTGTTCCATCCTCAGTTATAGCTTTTTCAATCTGTTCAATAGCGTCCTTAAACTCCTTCTTTTTTGATCCTTTGACTAATTGATCCTTATTTTTAAGGTAATAAAAAATATCTTCAGGCTTAATAAAGCCCCTAAAAATGTTTGTATTTATTTTTTTGTACGGAAATATCGCACAAGCTTTTAAGACTCAATAGTAGCCTGTCGGCAAGTTCCTTATTACTTTAGGGCCCCCAAATTGACAGAAAATTGAAGTTAAACTTCCTCACTTCAATCCCGCCTCAGCCCCATTTACAAAACACATAGTAGTTACTTACGTTTCTCCAGTTCCGTAAAATTGTACATTGAATTTTTTACCACTTTTCCCTAAAATCTACAACGAACATGAACTAAATCAAAATTTAAACATAGCTAATAACTTACAACTGCCGGCCATGCTGGATATCCTTTTATTTTCGCAAAAACTTTGTCACCTTCTTTAAATGAGCGACTCCTCTTCATTGTTAAAATGGGTTGCCCTTTTATGCGACTTTAAACAAATATTACCGTTTTGTATGTTATTAATTTTTGAAATTTCGGTAAAATTCACAAAGTAAAATGGCGTCGCACGCTTTAAGAAAAGTAGCGCCCCCTAAAAACTGGTGCAGATGTGCAGTAAAGCAAGCGGGTAATTCAAATTCAACCAGTGGCGTAACAAGATAAAAGTCACTAATGTTGTGAAACAGCTTTATTATTTTTTTACGAGTTACAATATATTTGTTTCCTTACATTTTTCACGTTAATAATTTACAAATAAAATTCATTTTTTATGTAGTAAAATAAAATTAAAAAAATTACAATTATTTATATTGATTAACATCATAAAACATCGAACAAATATAAAACAAAGCCGCTGAATAAATCACAAGTGTCTGGTAATCAATGTACAAAGTTACAAAAATACCAATAATTTATAATTAAGTAAAACTATCCTATGTATCACATTAAGTACAGGTGAAAATTGTCGATACATGAGCACCGAAAATGAGATTGAGCACCGCTCGAACCTCCTCTCACTACCTGTCGTAAAAATTAATAATACCATCAAAAAATAAAACTAAACATTCAAGCCATCGCTTCAACACTGTATTTAAGACACGTTCATCTAACAATAAATACAATAAATAAATTCGCTGTGTATTCATTTTCACACGTGTTGGTCACGCTTGTAATAAACACACACATAAATGCAATAATTTGGTGGGCGATAAAAGAATCACATTTGGTGCTTAAATTTGGGCCGTCTTCATAATGGAATCGTTATAATTGAGCGCCAAACTTCCAACAAGTGCGACAAGTGTGCGGTCCAACCAGGTGACAGGGTTGGGGTAGATCAAACCACCCTCGTAGAAGCCCAAATGTCCGCCGTGGGCTAACTCCAAATACAACATATTGTTTTTCTCAGCTAAAAACCCAGAATTATATTAGAAGCCTGTCAAAAACTAGTCTCAATAATATAATAAAAAACCTTAAAATCCTCATAGTGGCAACTTAAAATTTTGTATTATTCAAAAGTCTGTTGAAACAATTTATGATACTTACAAACTATTGATTTGATGGGCTCTAGTAACGGCTCTGGTACAATCGGATCGTCTTTAGCGTTAATAAAAATCATTGGCTTGTTTATGTTATTGATATAATTGATGCTAGAACTCCACGAATATAATTCCGTGATCGAATTAAATTCGTGAATTCTTCTAGTGTAGGCTTCATCTAATTCGGGAAGAGTGGCAGCTGAAATAATCTCGTGTTCGTTGAGCTTGTACCGATTCTTCACTTCTTCAGACAATAGAACATGGCGATGCTTCAAAATAATATTCTTCATGTTTTCAGTCATGATATAAAGATAGAAGCGACGGAAATTTTGCCAGTTGAGTAACCATTTTGTTCCCCTGTGAAAATTCAGGTCGGCTTAGTTTATATTTATTCTAGTATGTTTACGCGATTTTATGATTTTTTGTCCTAATTAGAACATAAAGCGATTACAACCCAAGATAATAAACTCGATAATTGCGTAAGATAAAATTCAATTATTCAGACTTACTCGATGGCACAGTAGCCTTGACATATGGAAATTCCACCAATTATGTGCAGAGGCTTCTCCCTATCCACTTCCCCCATATATTTGGTTACTAAATTACCACCTAGACTAAAGCCTACACAAACAATTCGGGTATTTGGGTGTCTGCTGATCAGACTTGAAACCATTTCATGGTAGTCGTTTGTATTACCTGAAAAGTAAATTTCATATTTCTGATTTCACATCATCAATTAAATAAAAATTTCTAACTCGGAAAGCTCCTTTAATTGATTTTGAGCAAATAAAAAATCATCGACCTCCTAATTGACATGTCAAGTGTATTAATTGGAGACCTACTTTATGAAGATTTCAAAAGTAAAAATGTATTTTAAATAATATTATCAAGTAAAAAAAATGTATTTTATTTTCAAATATTATGACATAGTAGTGTTTACTTTATTTCATTGAATCGATTCAAAAGAAAATCTAAGAAAGTATCCCCTAGTTTAATGAAAAAATAATAACATTACAGAAATACTAATTTCATAATCTCATAATCAAAACCAAATGATGTATAGTTTCAAAGCAAAAGGTTTAAGTTTTTTTAAGAAAAAATTGCATACCAAATTTTGTAATTTTATTGAAATTCTAAAAAGCGATTCTTCATTTTTACTTTATCTACATTAAACGTGGTATCAATTATTAAAAACATACGTGAATTATCAAAACTTTGCACTTTAGAATAAATACAGCATTGTATTTAATTTAACACGCACAAAAACCTACTTTATTTTTTCATCAAAATAATACTTTGTGTAAAATTATCATTTTTTCAACATTTTACGTTCCAATTTTTGAATTTATTTTCAGTTTAGAACTATAATAAACTTTGTCCTTAATGTTCCTTCTTACCGTAACTAAATATGCGAGGGGCCGTGACCGGTACGCTCTGTAGCGCCCCCACGTGGTTCAAAACGGCGCATCTGTAGCCGTGATATTGGGCCCAATGAACAAAAGTGCGTATATAAACACTTTCGGAGGTATTTCCGATGCCTGGACATATAGCGATCGATACGTCATCTGTAACAAAATATGTAATTGTGTCAATAAAATGTTGATCGAGTTTTAAATAGAGCAATATAACCTTGGAAATTTGTATCTAAAGGTTGGTACATATCGTAAGTTAATGTGGTCCCATCGTCGAGTGATAGAAACACTCGTTCGCCTATCGGCCATGGGCACTTTACCCTGCCGATGACGCTGTGAAGGATGGTCTGGACATGGCCGCTGAAGCCCCACAGTCGCGTTGGAATGTATCTGGAAAAATTAAAAATTCTTCAAGTAAAATTACAATAACTTTTTCCCACATTATGCTATTAAAGTATCTAATGGTACATACAGGGTGCGCCAGAACTCGCGCCCCAGAGAAAAATTTCAATTAAGATAAGATACCAGGAACATGGAAAAAATATTTAAAAAATTCTATATGTCAAAAAATTTTGACATTAATTTTTTGACATTTGACATTTTTTATGTCTATTTAATAATACTGATAATCTTGTAAAGTATATTTCATTGAAATTGGCATAATAGTTGGCTATGGAATTTCGTATTTAAGTTTGTAGCCATGCGCATGTCCCTGATATAACAGCTGATGGGGTTTTTGTTTTTCTTTGATTACTTACCTACATGGTTTATTGAACTGATATGACTGACATTTGTATTCGTTTTTTCACTGTTTTCGTTGGTTGTTCGTTATTCCTACTATTTTTTCAAATTATAATTAAAAGTAGTTCTCTTCAGAACTCCAGATTTGAAGTACAGGGTGCTGCATTTTGGATGTCCGAATAGGGAATCTCCGAATCTAAGATGTTTAGCCAAAAACGAGTGATACATTCTGGGGCTCATTTTTTGAGAAAATAATATTGGTTAAAACCGCATCTCACTATCGTCTTTTGTTTTCGACTTACAGATAAAAGTTGACATTTTGACGAAATCTAAAAAAATTCATAGCTTCGTTATTATAGAAGATACGGATTTGAAATAAAGACATTATACAGGCACTTTATTTCGAGGAATTTAATAATGTAGTTAATAATTTTTTTCAGTTGTTTATTTAGCCGTAATAAAATAAACTTGTATTTTTTTAAATGGGAATCATACTTTTAATTATTAGTTTAGCCGTAATAAGATAAATTTGTATTTTTTTTTTAATGGAAATCATAGGCGGCTATTGCAATTTTGAAAAGCTTATTTTTTTTCTGATCTAAAAAATATATATTTGTAACAGAATATTTTTTTATAACTATATTTAAAAAGTGAAATACATATTTTGTTTCATAATAGTTGTCCATAGAAAAACTATTTCACTCCAAATGTGTAAATAATAATCAATAAGACTTTTGTGAACTGTAAAATAGATGAAAAAATAGATACAATTATAAAAATTTAAAAAATACGATACGGTAGAAGCATTGAACAAATATGCGAGCGAAAAAATTATTACATATTTTTAAAAAATCCAAAAATAGGAAAAATAAATGTGTCAATAGTCAACACAATTAGAAAAAACAATTTTTTGATGATCTAACGGAGGTAGGGTAACATTTCACATAGACGGAATTTGGGTATTTGAATAGCCATATCGTCATTTTTGTGTCATATAAAATATATTTTATTGAAGAATTAAAGCGGCTTTTTTTACAACACACTATGTATCACTAGAGGTTGCAATGGTAATGTTAGCTTGTTTAAAAACAAAGAAATGTTATTAGTCGCCAATAAGTTGATTTACAATTTATTTTGCATTTGTTTCATTACTTAGTACTTAGAAAACTCTTTCATTAGTGACACTGGTTAAATATGATATAGTTTAAATCCTTTTAGTTGAAGTTCATGTAAAACTGCGAACAAAAATCAAAGATAATTTTTTGCTAAAAATGAATTATCATAATATGTATTTTTTAGATAAGAAAAAAACAAGCTTTTTAAAAATGACATAGCCATCTATGATTCCCATTTAAAAAAATACAAGTTTATTTTATTACGGCTAAACAAACAACTGAAAAAAATTTTTAATCACATTATTAAATTCTACGTAAAAAAGTCCCTGTATAATGTCTTTATTTCAAATTTGTGTCTTCTATAATAACGAAGATATGAATTATTTTAGATTTCGCTAAAATGTCAATTTTTGTCTATAAGTCGAAAACAAAAGACGATAGCGGATGCGGTTTTAACCAATATTATTTTCTCAAAAAATGAGCCCCAGAATGTATTACTCGATTTTGGCTAAACTTCTTAGTTTCGGACATTCCCTATTCGGACATCCAAAATGCAGCACCCTGTACACGCTAAGGTATGTTTGAAAACATAATCAATTTCTTTTTGTTCCTGTTTTAGGCAGAAATAAATAAGAGTCAAAGTGTAAACCTTAAACTCTCATAACTTCGAAAATTTTATAGATAATTTTTTTTTAACTTTTTTTCTATGTTCCTGGTATCTTACCCTATATGGCATTTTTCTCTGGGGTGCGAGTTCTGACGCATCCTGTATAAGTAAAACTAATATTATATTTTAAAATTTGTTGAAAAAAACTCCCAGAGTTTAAAAAATTTTCCGGATTTTTTATGACTTACAAATTTTAAATATAAAAATATACGATAAGATAAAATAGTATATTAAAATACAAGCACGAATCTGAAATTGCAAAACGAGCCGCGTAGCGGCCAATTGAGTGCTTGAAGAACCTTCTGCAACGGGCGTTTTATACTATTTTTTTATTTTGTCGCTTTATATCATTTTATAAATTAAAAGACAAGAATTTTAAATCAAGGGAATTTTGCGACGGTTGGTGACATGCATGTAGAATAATTTTAAGCGGCTATGAAAAATAAAAATAATTCTTATTTTCACATTTGAAAATGAATAGTAAAGAAAATCCGTCACTAAAATTAAATTAAGGCCAACGACTTATTAAAGCTCTCAAATGACGTCATTTGGGTGCTTTAACAGTTTCACTCTGACACAAAATGATAATTGATAACAATAGATTTCTCAGTTTTATCACACCTATCTTAGGTAATAATGTAATAAACTTGTTTCTGAGTCATGGTGTGACGTCATAAATTTATACAAGCAGTTTCAATGCCAATGTTACGTAGAGATAGGTCGTAAGTTTTGTATCGAGAAACACTTTCAAAGTGAAAATTCCATTTTCAAAGTATTTACAGTCTTTTCGAGTTTGTGATTAGTAGTTTGAGTAAAATAAAGTACAAAATGTCCCTCTAAAGAGAAATGTATATTTTTTTTTAATTAAAAGCGTAACTGTAATCAGTCTTAATTATCAAGAATAATCATACCAATAGGTTTATAATGATTTCTAACAGCCAAGATGAAATGATACATTTATAGACAATTTATTTAAACAAAAAAAAACGCACTTATCAGACATGTAGATGTAACCTAAATAACCTACACATTCTAGACATAACAACAAAACTAAATTATTCTAATTAACATAAATGTTTATTATTTTGTATGTGATCACGTTATTTAGATAAAATAAACAACTTTCTCGAACATTTAATCACACAGGGCGACAAAAAAAGTCATGTCGTGACAACTTGACAAATTATATTTATACCATTTTGTTCGTCTCAGTGAGACAAATCAAATGCACTAAAAAAAAATTAAAAAAGTCCACATACTTTGAACTAAATAATTTTTTTCTAGTTTCAATGAATTTAAAATACTTTAACTTTACTACTTTAACAGTGTTAAAGTAAGTGTTCGAAGAAGTTCGAAGTAAATCGAAATAATCTAAGAAAAACCCTACGAGTATTTTTTTGTCATTATCACCATCGTGTAGAGCATCTCTTTATTAGTCATAATCCAAATTTTTAAAAGAATATACCGAGTAGTTTTCAAGATATGATTTTTTGAAGTTAAGGTTTGCTAATCAAGCATTGCGCCATATAGGAAGAATGCATGATAATCTTACTTTAAATTGCATTTTTACGTATAATAAGAGTTTTAAGATTCTTCTTTTGCTTAAAAATGGTCAATTGCACCTTCTTTGTTCTAATTAGAATAAACAAAAACTGTTTGTTTACTTAAAACAAACAAAGAGTACCTGCGTTATATTAAAGCAAATAAAGAGTTTTTTTTTTTAAAAATGACCACTGATCATTGAGCAAAGAGGATCTAGAAGTTTAAAGCACGAGCCTTAAATATAACGGCTTATATCTCACGAAAACAAAATGTTTGTACAGGCCTCAAGCTACTGAACTGAAAAAAAACATTATAAAAAATACTGTGGTAATGTATACCTAGTAACAGGAAAATTGCATTTTACTAGGGAGTATAATCTGTTACGATACAGCTAAAATCAAGCTGTGATAATATTGAATTTGCCAAAACAACATAACTTTCCATTGCGATTAGACAATGAATCATCAAATCATGTCAGATAACAGCACTAACTTTAAATATTTAATGAGTTTTATCAGTTGAAAAATTCTCGAATATCCGGTCACGCTTCCATTTCATATTTTCTTAAAAAGAGATTCTAATCAATGATTTTTTTATTAAATACTCCCACATCTAGGTAAATAGTATCGTTTGGAGCTGTGGGGCGAAAAATAGAGCAATTATTTCGATTCGTCATCAATAAACGCTAGACTGAAACAGCATTCTTTCATTGCATAATTCATAACAAACGTTTTTCATCAATATCTGTGCCACTTTGGAGAAAACTCACAATTCGCCATCTAATTAACATAAAAAAGGCTTTCACTATGATTTGAAAGCAAGTTCTGTTCCGCAACCCAAATAATTCCAACAACCTTGCCGCCGCATTTTCGCATACAATTTAATAACATTGGCCTGAAAATCGATCAGAAACCTTGGCCCCTGTCAAAAAAAATCGAGAAACTTCGAAAGAAATACGGCCACTTCTCGCAGTGGCTACTTACGGTTCTTGTATAAGGGGTGAGATTTTGAGGATGACGTCCAAGAATTTCTTATCGCTGCAGCATATGACTGGTTTTTGTGGCTGGCTATTGACGTTGAGTATCCTGAACAGGATGCACAGGATAACAGCGATTGCGGCTAGCAGGGCTGTCGACATGATGGCGAAGGAACGCCCCAAGTGAGCTTCTAATACAAACACCTCGTCCACTATTTACTCCGGCACTGGACAATAATTGATAAAAATGTAACGTTTTAGGAGTGGGAACACGAATTTTTAATGCTCGGCGATGAGATCATCTGGATTTCGAAGAAAAGTGTGCACATGCTCTTTTGCTACCTTTTTTTTATATATTGTAAATGTCAACTGTCAAACTTGGTGATAATTGGTGGTTTATGTATTAGGTTTGAAGTAAATCACGGGGACTAAAGGCACAGGAACGATCAATATTTTGCATACTTTCAGCATAACTAACAAGAGACACCTTTAAGTACGATTTTTGATAGTTGGAACGATTTTAACCTTACTTTTTCAGCTGATCGAAGGATATTTGATGAGAGCGCATGTGCACACCACGGCCTCCTTGATAAAAAAATAGACTTTCGTCTATGCGGCCTCGCGCGTGGGAATAATGTTTGTGTGTTTGACATATGATATAAAGCGGGAGTAGGGCAGAGTCATCTACTGGTCTTAATTGAAATATCTAGATCTGTAATGTTGGTTGCATATCTTAATAAAAAATTCAATAATTAAAAATTTTTAAGTGCTTTAATTTTGACATTCCAAAAACCATTTACCGACAATATTCCTTATTGTTGCCTTTAGTGTCATGAACCATAGGCCATTAACGAATTAAACGTTGACTTGAAAGAACAATGCCTTCAAGACGAAAATGCTGTATTTACAAATCCCAAGATTTAAAAGGAAAATAGTTTCATTATTTTCCTGCTAATATAAATTTGGCCTCTGAGTGGAAAGCAGCAATTGCACCTTACAATATAAGGTGCAATTGCTAAATACGAAATTGATAAATACGAATTTAATTATGCAAAATCCCAATAAATGTTTTTAAACCATAAAAATCTATCCGAATATTCAACTGTTTGCAGTGCACATTTTAAACCGGAAGATTTTATCATCAATTCAAAAAAAAGCATGCTTTTACCAGGAGTCGTCCTTCTAGATTTGTAAATAGTGTTGTGTTATAGTTTCAATTTGTATATTTGTATAACACTTCTAGTTTCAAACCACGACAGAAATTGGTGAATTACCACAGCCAACATTAAGTACTAGCTCTAACAACGTTTTTGACTTGGGGACTCAAACTTTATGTGCATCGGCTCAATTAAAAGACTTTGAATATGCAAACCGGTGTCTAAAACAGAAATTGAGAGGACTTCAGCTGTATTATAATAAACTCAAATAAAACAAAGCAACATCTACTAAAATTGCCATGCAGTACAACGTTGAGAAAATATTTTGGTTCAKAAAATAAAAAWTTGATAGAAGATCGTCTAATTAGTGAAATGCAAATTTTWAACATTTCKGAACGTGTRTGTTCCTTAGTTGTAGATGATATGGCTGTTAAGGAAAACMTTCGGTATTCAAAAACAGAAGAWCGYATTTTTGGACTGGAAACTCTTCCCAAAGTCACCAACACTATCACATCTAAACCCGTTATTGCAAACCAGTTGCTCTGTTTTATAATACATGGCTTGTCAACAAAATATGTGATACCAGCAAGCTACTACTTTCATAGAAAACTGGGCAGCAAGGATTTGTACAAACTGGCAACAGAAGTATTGCAGCTTCTTGCAAAATGTGAATTTAACGTCGTACACGAATTGTTGGAGACAACCACAAAAATAATGTTGCTCTTTTCAAACATTTTGGAAATGCCTATCTCCAGAATTATATATCCCGCATCCTTTTAGTCCTGGTCTAAAGCTCTTCTTTAGTCTTGATTATTGTCATTTAATTAAAAATGCTCGAAACTTATTTTTAGACCATAAAATGGCATCCAAAGAAGGTATTATTTCAGCTGATTACTTAAAGGAGTTGGCTGAAAATCAAGAAAATTTAATTGTAAGGCCTGTTCGATACTTAACCAAAAAACACTTGTTTCCAAGTTATTTAGAGAAGATGAAGGTACGTCTAGCCGTGCAAATATTTTCAACACCAGTTACTGCATCCTTGCGGTATCTTGCAAATCAGGATCAAGCTGAATTATTGAACTTCAAACAGTTTGGAGCTACAGTAAAATATTTGGAAACAATGTTAATTTTTTTTTTAATCTACGATGTGAGTAATAGAACTCAACACGTTCGCCAACATGACTGTGATGTTGCACCATTTACTGATACTTCGGATGAACTTCTTTTGTGGCTTGACCAAGAATTTCCGTCGTACATTAGGGATGTTCAAACTAGATCAGAAGCAATGGGAATGCGAGGGCTGACAAAAGAAACTGCAGAAGCATTTCTGTTTACTAAGTACCGGCCTTTGCGTGAAATATTTGATAAATGAATTGAACTTCTTATGTCTTAACGAGAAGATTGAGTTCTAATGCCATAGAGTCCTTATTTTCTATAATGTTAGACTAAGAAGTGGGTCTAATGATCTCACACATTGTAGAGCTGCCGAACATGCACTTCGTCAAATTTTGAAAACCGGCATAATTAAAAATGTTAATTCTTGTAACACTGCTTCCGAATACAAATATAAGAGTTCGGCAACTACGCCGACCGTGAAGCAAAATTCAATAGAAACTACAATGGCTGTAACTCTAAAAGATTCCACCTTAAATAAATTGGAAAAATTAAAACATTTTAATAACACTGAATACATCATCATCTTTGATTACTATGGAATCGGCTGCTATAGCATTTTTATGTTGCTATCTTATAAAGAAAGCAAATCAATTTGTGAGCTGCAATTTATGTTTTTCAACATTACAAGATCTTAATCCCCAAGTAAACTGTCCGTTATTGGAATTAATATACCACCAAGATCGTGGAAGATTACCTAATCTACCCAAACAAAAAATTTGTGAGTTTAATAGTGTTTGTTGTAGAAATTATTATTGAACTATTACCAAGTCTGCCAACTGAAGATGTGTCGTTTAATTTAAGGAATATTTTATTATCCTATCTCTATGGCATTTATGTGATATATCTCACCCATTTTTTGCACCCAATTTTCCAAGTTTTTTTGCTACAGACTATGAGAAGCGGAAACAAGGAAGCTGTATCCTAAACTGTAACTCTGTTTAATGTTATTTGTGGATTTTATTGGCAAAAGTTTTGTACCTTTACTAAATAATTGTAAAAAAACATATACAAAATCATCAGTATCATTAAATTAAATAGAGATAAAAAATGTCAAATGTCAAAAAATAAATGTCAAAATTTTTTGACAGATAGAATTTTTCATATACTGGGTGTTTCTTAAATAGACCGACAAAATTTTATTACAGCTTCCCAAGTATAAATGGAGACAAACTGTACCCTTTTTACGTTTACATTTTTTTGGGGCAAAACCCCAAACCCCTATTTAAGAATCACCCTGTATATAAGTATTATATTATGGAATTTCTTAAGCAGAATGTTCCTGGCACCTTACCCTACATGGCAGTTGTCTTTGGGGCGCGAGTTCTGGCGCACTCTGTTTGTGCATATGATGTAGAACGTTACTCCTTCAACTTTTAGAATCGCGATATCTCAGGAATGGTGATTCTTAGAAAAAAAAGTATGAAGACTATTTTTGTAGATAACTTTAAGATCTATAGTTTTTGTCTGGGCTACTTTTTTGATAAAACTTACCGTTTTCGAAAAAATCTAAAAACCTCAAATTTTGACATTTGACCCCGAATAACTTTTTTAGCACTCATGGGATCGATGGAGACTTTTGACACTTTATTTCTAATGGTGTACCCAAGATCTCCACCAAAATTTAGCTCTATCGGACCACTATTTTTATAACTTATTTGATCGGACTATTGGTTTTAGGCATATGGTACTAAAACCTTTTAAAAGGCAATTAAACAAAAAATGCAAAAGTGTTAAAATATACAGGACGTTCCATTAAAAAAATTAAAGTTGATGTCACTTCAGGTGAAACAAAAAACAGCATTAATTAAGCATCTATCTCAACGATAGATGACAAAAAATCTTCAAATTTGTTCTAAGAAGTATTGTCATAACTTTAAAAATAATGTAGAATATATTTTTCCGTTATTGCTTTGTACTAAAAAATATTATGTTGGGCTGTTTCAGTGATAGTTCAACAACCTTGTCGTTTTCTTTCCGGAGGGAGACAAGTCTCTTTAATCTCCCTAAATCTTTAGTTTCACTTTCAATGAAAAAATTCTTTTCCCAAACTAGAATTCGACTTATTTCGCAAGACTTTATTTCTTTGATGCAGTTTAGAACAAAACGGATACATTATGTTGGAATTTTCTCATTTTGTACGTTGACCCGGAATGTGAACGACTTATAAACTTCATTATTAACTTTAAGAAGATTCAAAGTTGTAGAAAATGCGCTGTGGAAACCGAACACCGAACTACTTGATTTATTTCAGGAAGTAATTTGTAAGTCGCGCGACAGAAAAAAACATCACTCGATTTTGAGCCATGTGAAGTTTATATTTTGTAAACGCGGTAGAAATTGCAGGGCTATTACGCCATCGTCATTATGGTTGAAGTGGCAATAAAACATTTCAAGGTAATTTCTCTTAGCGGAAGCCAATCTCTTGATGGACAAAATGGAACACGCCATAGGTACACGGAATGTTTGCTAAATAGACGAACCGAATTACTACATTGTGGAAATTCTTACACGGCGATTAGTTGATCAAATCGCAGAAATTCGTTGTCGAGCGCACAAGTCGTTTATTGCACGTTTTGTTTAACACAATTGTTGGAATTTTATTAGAATAATGTACAGGGCGATTCAGATAAGATAATGAGCCTGACGATCTGGCGATGCAACCCAAAAAACAAATTTCATTTACGTCTTTGATCCAATTTCAATTAGGATTTGCAAGTTGAATCCAAGTTATCATTTTGGTGTCACTCTGACATTAGTGCAGAGAATGATTATTAGTGCCATACAGTTCTCGCGGAATGATAGAGAAGTCAGATAAGTATTTTCGGTGTAAACCCAATACATAATGTATGAAACAATGAAACATTAAAGGTAGGCAAACAGTTTTTTTWWAAATCATAAATTGCATGTCAAAGCACTAWCAGAGCAACATAAGATAACTTGGATTGCAAATGCAAATCGTAATTAAAATTAGATCAAAAGGTAAATGAAATTTGTTTTTTGGGTTGCATCGCCAGATCGTCAGGCTCATTATCTTATCTGAATCACCCTGTATTGTTACGATGGATAAACGAAGTTTTCGTATAAAATGTATGTGGGCATACAAATTAGTAATCACCTATTTACTAAC